GAGACCGTTGACCGAGTCGGCTTGGAAACAGAAATTGGGCACTGACCTTCTGATTAAAGAAAAGGATTCAGCCTGCTTTAGTGACTCGGCTCGCCTTCAGCGGCAAGCAGCACAAATGCTTTGGCTACCACTATTGGGCGAGCCTTTGCAGACAGGCAAAGTTGCCAAGACACAGCCTTGAGAACGGCGCTGGTATGGAGGGGACAGGGCGTACAAACGAGTCTTGCAAGCCCGCTGCCCGTGAAGCAAAGCATCACAAACCGATCAACGGCGAAATTGTCAAGATGGCCTCTGCAGGCACTACCAATTGCCCATTTAGAGAACCGAAACCGGAAGCAATGGCATAAGAATCCAGCCTGGCAAAGTTACGCCGTGGCACTAACCGTTAGTGCTAAGCCCGTCTCTACCCGGCCTGACTGCAGTTGAACACAAAGGCCTCCGTTCCAACGTCGCTACGCCAGGGCAACCCTTCACCCCATGAGCAACATGGTAACCTGCGTAGGCTCGGCCATCTTTTGTCCAATACCCAGGCGCAGATACAAGTTACAAAGCTAAACGAGAAGAACGCCAAAGGATCCTTGTAACTTTGTGAGATCCCCTTGCTCACTTTCAGTGTAAACCATGGATTGAGAAGCTTTGCTGCAAGGCGCCGGGGGCTTGCTGAATCAGTCCAACCGGGACAAAAGCAGAGAGCGGTGCCTGAGGTCCGGAGCCCTGCGCTACGCGCAGAGCGGGTACAACCACCAGAGGTTAGACACCGACCATGTCAAATGACAAAAAATCGCTTGGACTCTTTGGCCGTGTGAGCGGCCAGGACACCTGCAGCACTTATCAACCCAGGATCGAAAAAACCCAAGCCCAAGTCGCAACTGGTTTCAAGACTAATCCCGGCCATTCTCCGACCCGGAAAGCTCAAAAGATGGAAGATCACTCAATCCTGCCGGGTGTAAACTTCATGAAATCTCAATGGGGAATTGTTGTTCTCCTGTTGGAATCCTTGGCTTGCTTTGAAACACCTTCTGGGAGCCGCCAAACCTCAAGTAGTGCTGACTATTACTGACTACTTCCCAGATAATGTTGGGAGAATGTTATTGCGCTTAATATCTGTCCTTGTCCATCTTGCCTATCTTGGCTGGGGCCGGGCTGGGTTATTGATCCGAGGTTGGTAATAGAAAAGCAGGGACGATGAGGGTCACTGAGGGCTGCGTCCACAGAAGCACAAGGGCCAATCGCTACATCCACATTGCTCGTCCAGCCCCCAGCTTCTGTCAGGGCGGGTCATTATGTGAGACGCCCAACCTGAGTCGCAAACCTCGTAAATGCTGCTCACAGCCAGAAGGTCTGCTTGCGAGCCTGCAAAGTTTTCAAGATTGGACCTGGGAAACTCGCATCTTTGTTCTTTGGTCAGAAACGCACCCAGGCACTGAAGATGTTGGCCACCCATGTGGAGTCAGGCTGCCAAGTGACCCTGCGCATTAAGAAGTGCAACTCCGCAAAGTGAAGGATTCTCTCTTAGATGGGGAGGGTGCTTCAAGAAGCAACCCTTTGTGGCTGAGGGGCGCCAGGATCAACCGCAAGATTGCTTCTCTTTGAAGGCGACCTTGAAGGAGAAGCTAAACTTGCATTTTCCGCATAGCTCACTTTTCATAATTTGGCAACCCTTGGGACTGCGAACGGGATTTGTATTGCCGCGGCATGCAACAGTGTTGGCAACAGAGTTGAAACTAAGCGCGCGGTAGCTGGTTTTGGGCTTTGTTGGAGGGGGCGCGGGGAGTCTCCCTTGCGGGGCGGGGGGGGGGGCCCTGAGCGGTGCCAAAGGGGTTGCCACATTTCAGCCAAACAAAACGGTGTTGGTAGGCAAACGGTGGTGGAGGGGGGGCTAGAGCATTCACCAATACCCCATGAAAAAGGAGCAACAATACCTGTGAGCATCCCCGCCTCCGTCGGCTTGCCTTCCTCCTGCTCCGCCTTCAACTTCTCAGCCTCGGGGTGTTCCCCTGCATTTCACTGGTTTGGCCTTGACGGCAAGCATGCGGGAAATTCAACAAACCCGTCCCACTTCAGCTTTGTCGGGCAATTGAGGACCAGATAGCCCTCACGCCCATCTTTTTGCAAATGAGTGTAAGTTGAGTGAATGAACAAAGTTAAGTTACTGAGTGTAAGTTGAGTGAATGAGAGAAAGTATGCGCAAGTTGAGAGAGCGGAGGTGAGTGGTTGAAAGTGAGTGAATTGAGTCAGTGAGGGAAGGCATGCGTAAGTTGAGTGAAACAAAGGTGTGCATAAGTGAGCGCGCGTAAGTTGAGTGAATAGGAGTAAGCAACCCTTCTTCCCAGTAATAGACCTTACCCTAGTAATAAAACCCCCCACACGACCCCACGAACTGCCAATACTTCTTTTTAACTACCCAGCACTGAACCAACACGAAACTCTCCCGAACCCAGGTCCACTCAGCAAAACTCTGCAGGTGTGCGGACTAGGGGATCCCCTGGTCTGACTCTTTTGCCCTCAGACCACGGGGCTGCCTTGCATCACAAGGTTTTCATTGCTAGTGTCTCCATTGAGTTCGCCTCAACAGGTCGCACTAAAGGGATGCCTTACGTGACACGGTTTTTAGCATTGGGGTCTGCATTGGGTTCCCTTCAAGAGGTCTTACTCACAAGTTGTACTCTGAGCGCTTTTTCCTCAAACCACAGGGTTGCCTTGCCAACTTGCGCGACAAGGGTTTTCGCATTAGGGTCTCCACTGGGTTCCCTTTGGGGGAAAAAACAAGGGCGCCTTCCCTGAAAAAGTTCTTACTCAAAAATTGCACTTGGTTGGCGCCTGCCGCGCAAAACAGCATCGGTACGCACAAAGGTACAGCGCCTGCCACTTAAAACAGTCAGCACGCACGAAGTCGCAAGCAAGCCGCAGGCCGAAGCCGACTGCTCTGAACAGACTAGTCTAATGCAGCGCGCCAGCCACAGGCACGCGCAAAGACTGCGCCTGCCACGTAAAACTGTTAGCACACACGAAGAACTGCAGCTGCCACAAGAGCAGAAATAAAACTGGGGGCGCTAGGTGACCACCCCGCACAGACCACTCAAAAACACCGCGCCTGCCACGCAAGACAGCATGTGCGCGGAAATCAAAGTGGACATCCAGGATGCTGGTTCCAGCTCGCAAGGATCTGACAAGGCACCCTGCTGCACTTCTAGCTGTGTATTGACCCTCTTTGTTGCATTTCAGACATGGCCAAGCCGCAAAAAGGACTGCTGGCCACTTGTAGGTGGGCTGCCTCACTCCCTCCTATTCCCTGCTGGGCAATTGACACAATGCGTTTTGGCTTCTGGCTCAACCCCCAGCCAAACAGCAGCAGCAATGATACTAGTAGTGGGTTGCAGCCTTCTACACTTGGATTTTGGAAACCAATTCTCGTAACTACTGTGAGCAAAAAGAGGTGTAAGTTGAGTGAGTGAAAGAAAATATGCGAAATTCCAGCGAGCGAGAATGAGTGTGTGAAAAGTGTGTAAGTCAGTGAGTGAAAGTTGAGTGAGTGAGAGCAAGTATATGCAAGTCGGTAAGTGCGAGTTGCGTCTCACAAGGAAGGCGCGCGGACGACGACATTAAAAGTAAGATTTTGCGCAAAGAATGAGAACAAACAATCATGGGCTGAAAAATAAACGTCGCCAACATTCCAGCGACCCTTTGTCTCTAATTTGACGGGGGGCATGGGGGCCATGAGGCTTTACAACACCTTTCGCGAATGTCTTGGCTTGGCACCCCGCAAAACGCCCCCAAATCCTCCAAACCCCAACTGAACCCCTCAAACCAACCCCTCACAACCCGTTCGCCCGCCCTCCCTTGCACCCTTCCACGTCGACCCACACGCCCGGGCGGGCCTCGCGCAGAGCTCGTTCGGCTTGGCGGCGTTGCTTCCGCCCGCGCCACGAAATGCGGTTGCGCCGGGCTTTTGCTTCTGCCTGGTCGCAGATGTGGCAATGGTCGCAAGCATCTCCCTTCCAGCAGCCGTCCTGCTCAGGACGCTCGAATCACGGACATACTCGTACAAACGCGAATGCCCGCAAACATGCATTACACTACCTTTCATTGCATGGCATTGCAGTGCGTTACATTACGCCTCGCTACAATCAACGTTACGTTACATTGCATGACATTGCGTGGCCTTATGTAGCATGCATGAATGCACACCTACATACCTGCATAAACACATACATACGCATATATTATAATATCGCGTTCTGTTGCATTGTACTGCATCGCATTGCGTTCCACACAGTGTGTGCTTATATATGCACCTGCGTGTCCGCGGGCAAGCAAAGCAAGCAGCAACAAACTCAAATGATGCGTTGCGTTACGTTACGTTACGTTACGTTCCGTTCCGTTGCGTTACGTTACACACATACATCGTATTCATTCATCAATTCATCCATCCATCCATCCATCCATCCATCCATCCATCCATCCATCCATCCATCCATCCATCTGCCACTACTGTTGTGGTTCTCCGTCCCCATCCATCCTCCTTGCGCGTGAAGAACAGGCAAGGCCTGCAGGCGCGGGACTTGTGAAGCTGATCTTGGGATAGAGACTCCATGGCCGGCGGAAGCTTGGCATCGGCCATGGCGGAAGAGAACAACAGCGCTGTCTGACTCTCTCTACCGGATTTGAAGGCTGCAGTTTCGAGCGATTCTCCGAAGGGCACCTCAAAATGCAGGTTCACAAGCAGTGATGGCTTCCCTTTGCTGCCCTGCTTGCAACCCAAAAGGGTTGCCCGCGATGCAAGTGCACTTTTGCCCACTGAGGAAGTCTCAAATGCAAAAAAAGAAAGCAAAGTGTCTATTGCTTCAGCCCCAACAACTCCTACAAATCTCATTGATTTTCCTAGAGGGACCCAACCCCAAGCACAAGCCCGGATGCTTTTGGGGAGACTGAAGGAAACTTACCCGGCTTGTTCCAAGACCTGCTGGCCACAGTTGGCGCGCACCTTTTTGAACCCGCAG